GTTGTTATCACTGGACACTCTTTCTCTCTCAATTTCTTCTAAGTTTCTACTTACCTCCTTCTTCTTCTATCATTAGTTTTACTACTTCTACAATTTCCTATTGTATTTCTCATTCTAGGAACTTCATTATATATCTACTAATTGTAAGTTGAGTAAAGAGTATTAATATAAGTGTGGCTAGTGTTTTGTGACTAAAAATTATAGTGCTAGAACAATCTACCACCATGTACAAAGAAAGTTCTAGAAGATAATAAAGACATAATGTTTGAGGATTTACAAAAGGGCATTGATCGAGTCAATGTTCTAATAGCCACGCATGTGAGATGACAAGATTTAATCTGTCATAGAGCGGTAGCACGCTGCGATCGCTGCAATATCAAGGTGCGATCATTGCAATATCAGGTGGGGAGAGTGTCATGACCTGCCACGTATGCGTCATGTGACATTAAGTTGTCCATTTTGAAGCATAAGTATGCTAGCATTTATCGAAAGATTCTAGAGCCATGAAGAACTTGTTGGAAAGACTCTAGAAATTTAGGAAGAATTCTTGAAAAGCCTTAGAATATTCTAGGCATGTAGAGAATTCAGAAAGAATAGTTTATTTGTAAAATATGTAGAGACTTATGTAACAATTATTAGTAGTAGAAATACAGTCACCTCTATTTGTAAATAAACCAAGCAAGAAATAAGCATTCTTCAAGCAATACAAAATGTCTCCTTACAAAACTCTCTCGTATATTTCTTTATTTCCTACACGATTTAAGTTTGAAAAGACTTACTTAAGAATAAAAGAATTACAAGTAAATTATCGAGTGTTGTACGAAGTGCGATAAAGTCAAAGTCTGCGACATCACCCTATATGTGCCTTGGTAAAACATTTGACTTCTCTACTAGACGTAGCTCTAGTTGTACTGCTATCCTCAATTCTAACACACTCTTTTAAGTTACTGTCAACTATGTAAGATAATCCCTTATTTTCCATCCACGCTAGGATGTAAAATAATTCTATCTCAAACTATCTCATCCCTTTCTCAATTTTAAGTTGTTTCAAGATTATTCAAATTTCGTCTTCCTTTTAATATGGAAATAAAATTTGAAGAAAATTGCTAGTAGCTGCTAAGTCACGAAAAACTCTAAAATAATAATAATAATAATAATAATAATGGAAGTTTGAATTGACATTGTATATTGGGGGTACAACAACTTGTTTACCTAGCAGAAAGAAGGGTAGACACGTAGCACCAACAAAGGATGTTCATGGAAAGTGATTCCGTGGAATAGTTGGTTTAGTTCATGTACTAATGATGTGGTAAAAAGAACACGTACTTTAAATATGTTACTATGTTATCCTCTAAACGATTGAAGAATATTAGCTGACACAATTAATAATATTTATATATAGATATGTAGTCATTGAACATTGTACTTTTAAGGTTTCAGTGAAGCTTTTTTATTGATTGGTGCATCACCTTAGTTACCAATAAACGAGTAATAATTTTAATACAATTATAAGGAATTGAATTCCAACTATACCATAAACGGAAAAAAAGAAGTAATAATTGCAATATATCAAAACTATTAGGACACACTTTTATATATATATATATAATATATAGGTTATCTATTTATTTAGAGTAAGTTTTTTTATTAATAGTTTTTATGAATACCGTATAATTTAACTCTTTCCTACAAATATAATTTAGATTTATCATAGCCGCAGAAACAAAAAGAATTTTTTTAAATTTTTTTTTTCTTTACACGTTTCTAAAGATAACATACCAAATAGATATACGAAATCAACTATATTTAAAGTACTAAAAGCATAGATATATAGTGAACTATAAGTTGAATATATAATTTATTGGGTTTAATGATAATAATATTTGACTCAAAATATTTAAACAAAGAAAATTATTCATAAATCTAATGAGGTCCACGTGAAGCACAGATATATTTACTTGTTATATATACACTTAAATTTTGCAAAGGTCCGTTATATTTCAATAAACTAACCAATGTAAAAGAATTACATAAAAGATTGCTATAGGTATCTTTTGTTAATTGCTATAACAACTTATTCTTGACAGAATTGTAACCAACAGTCAACTAACTACACATTATAACTTAGTCACAATTGTCTAATATATATAATGTCAATCTCCGTGTTTTTCTTGAATTTTTATGGAGGCCCCATTCTTCTGATTCTGCATAAAAGATTTGTGTATAGTGAGTGATATATGTTGTTTATCTTGTATTCCTAAAATACTTAGAACAAAACTTTGAAAAACTTGTTAAGAGACAACTAAGTTTAAAAACATTTTCATAACTATCAAAGTTTTATGAACCATTGAGGTACAAAAGAACATAAAATTAATTCACAAATTTAATATCTGTAACACATACCAATATCTGGAAAAAACAAAAAAAAAATCAAACCCAGTGAATGCACAGTATCCCCTTAAGGAAAATTATTCCCCTTAAATATCCGAGCTTTGATTTGGAATATGTCCTCCCAGGATAGAATGATCTCAATCACCAGTTCATTGATATCCAAAACACAGGTGTCAGCGAGCCACTCAACGGCTCTAAAGTATACTTAGAATACTAGATTTAGTAGTAGTAGAAGAAGTCCAAAAATTCTATTCTTAAAATGAGAGGAAATCCCTCAATTTATAGAAAACAAAGAGTAGTGTGAAAATGTTTTTATTGTGCCTTATCGGAAAGGTCACAACAAAAAGGTCGTCATTTTTCATAAAAGTCACAACTCTTCATTTTCCATTCACACCTTTTAAAACCCAACTCTATATATATATATATATATATATATAACTTTTTACGTCATTTCCTTAGGCCTCACAATTTTTGGGGCCTCAAATTTCTATAAAATAAAAAATCATGTTTAAACTTTTCATGAAAAAGAATAAATTATTCATAATAAAAAGAATAAATATGTATTTTCTTTGCTAAACACTTTGAATTTTTTTTTAAAAAAAATAAAACTCCTTATGCACTCTATTTATTGAAATATTTGATAATTAGAGTAATATTTTGTCAAAAATATGTATCAATAGCTGAAAAGTATTGAAAAAAGTAAATTACAAATATTCTTTTATTTCTTTATAATTTTTATATTAAAGTAGGATATCAAATCATCAACTTTTTGAATCGGATTCTATAACTTCATCTCTTATCTTTAGTTAAAATTTATTATTTTATTATTTATAGAACTATATTCTCGATTCATATGATAATTTTCTCATTAAAATGATGTTTTCAATGTTGAATTGATAAAATTTTGCTTAAAAAATAATATTATAAAAAAATATTTGAAAAATCACTTATGAAAAATATATTAAGTAATAATTTACATCTAAAAGTTTTAAAAAATAAATAAATACAACAATATTTTAAAAACATTTAAGCCTCTAATTAAAGTTTAGCTTTAGGCCTCGAATTATGTTGAGACGTCACTGATATATATATAGAAGAAATTAAACTATTCTTCCCATGTTCTCTAACCTAATTAGATCTTTGTTGACACTTCACGGAACTTTCTTATAATTATTGTTAATTTTTCGCAATATATAGATTCCGATTAGGAGAAAAGAAAACAAGTTAAGTAGTCATGGACGAAGAAGATTATATTTGGGCCAGGAAAATGCATAGGGAAAATTTCATATATGGCAAACTGAATTTATGAAATAATATTATGTGGATATAGTTTACATAATTACATTTTATGGGTATAGTTTAGTTTGTTATGTAGCTTTTTATTTTGTATAAAACGTTTTTAAAAAAAATTTATACTATATTTTACTTTTCCATTAAATAGTAACAATAGCCCTAAATATGGTAACAAGCATTTACAAAATCCATAATTTAAGCTAAACATTCAAGATCAAATATTTTCTCAAAATAGAATTCTATTGCGACTGAAAATCCATACAAACTTGTTTCAGGAAAACTAAACTTTTTAATGTATATAAAGTTTATATATGAATGTAAATAAATTGAATATAAATTGTTTAATTTGTACCAAATTGTAAAGTAATTATTATATACATATACAATTAAAATATGAATACAGTACTTGTATACACACAAATCCCTCAAGTAGTTTTGTATATAATAATGTAAAATACAAAAAGATTGTGATTTAAAACAAATTATTATACAAATAGTTGTACCAGATTTTTAAAAGTAATTACTTATATACATATGTAACTAGTTGAATATAAAAAAATTGTATATGTATAAACAAACTTTATATATGAATAAAAATACAATGAATATAGAAATATACAAAAAAAAATGGTATATGTGGAAACAAATTTATATACGAATGTAAATAAAAAAATATAAGTTGTTTGATTTGTATTAAATTAATTATTATCTACATATATAAGTAGTTGTATATGTAGTACTTGTATATACACATATCTCTTAAGCAGTTTTGTATATAATAACGTAAAAAAATTGTGATTTAAAATAAATTATTATACAAATAATTGTATAATTTTTAAAAAGTAATTACTTATATACATATATAACTAGTTGAATATATAAAAAACTTAAAATATGTATATAACAATACAAAATACCTTGATTAGTTTTGTATATAATAATTCAATGTACAAACAACTATATACATAACATTGAAATAGGTAATTCTTGCACATTGGGATGAATCTTCCATTCTAATTTTGAACAACTTGTAATCTAATAAGAAAGAAAGATTTTTTTTAAAAAAAAAGAATACGAAAAACTAAGAAGCATAATACATATATGTTGAGAATCTTCGTTAATGGAAGTAAAGAAGCTTTAGAGAATATTTAGGAGAATGAATCTTGTTATCCATTCAATCTGTGTGTTGAGTTATATATATACATAAAGTGATAAAAGAAAAATAACTAACTAAGATTCTTTATTAACTTGTAACTAATTTCTGTAACTAACTATTTCTAATACAATTAACTAACTAATTACTTATTTACATGATCTCAACACTCCACCACAAGCTGAGAATTGAAAAATATATTTTTCATTCCAAACTTGTCAATTAGCAATTCATGTTGAGGCTTGCACAGTCCTTTAGTAAGTATGTCTGCTTGTTGCTCCTTAGTTCCTATGTGTTGAGTTTGAATGAGTTCATCCATGATCTTTTCCCTTACAAAATGACAGTCTATATCAAAGTATTTTTTCCGTTCATGAAAGATAGGATGTGCTTCTATTTGAATAGCAACTTTATTATCACAAAACAGTTGAACAGGCAGCTTAACTTCTACTCCCAATTCATTGAACAACCCTTTCATCCAAATTATCTCAGCTACTATGGTAGCCATAATTCTGAACTCTACTTCTGCAGAACTTCTTGAAACTGTATTTTGTTTCTTTGCTTTCCAAGACACTAAAGCACTTCCCAACTTGACTATGTAGCCAGTCACTAACTTCCTGGATTCTATATATGTTCCCCAGTCTGAGTCACAGTAAGCTACAAGCTCAGACATATTGTTGCTTGACATGAACAAACCAAGACGTGATGTACCTTTTATGTATCTCACCACTCTAAGTGCTGCTTCCATATGAGAGGTTTTTGGTGAGTGCATATATTGATTAAGTACTTGAACTACAAAGGCAATATCAGGCCTAGTTATAGTCAAGTACAATAGCCTAGCTATCAATCTTTGATATTTTCCATAATCATCAAGAACTTTATCTTTTGCATTCATTCCTGTGCATTTATCAAACATAGTGGATGTCAACTTGTGATTGAACTCTAAGGGAGTGGATTCAGGTTTACACCCTACAAGTCCAAGTTCAGATACAAGTCCAAGTGCATATTTTCTCTGATTCATAAGAATACCATCTGCATTTCTGGAAAACTCAATTCTAAGAAAATATTTTAATTCTCCAAGATCCTTCATTTTGAACCTGTACTGTAAGTCTTTTCTAACTTGTTGTATCAAATTTAAGTTGCTCCCAGTGATTCATCAACACATACGAGTATGACAAGAAGTTCTTTCCCTACTCTCTTTGTAAAGAATGAATAGTCATAATGAGATTGCAAGAATCTCATATCAATCAGTGCTTCAGTAAGTTTTAGGTTCCATTGTTTAGGGGCTTGCTTTAGTCCATATAGGGACTTATGAAGCTTGCAAACCATGTGTTTTTTCCCCTGGTTTGCAAAACCCTCAGGAATCTGCATGTAGACCTCTTCAGGAAGATCACCTTGTAGAAAGGCATTATGAACATCCATCTGAAATATATACCAACCACAAGAGGAAGCAAGAGCAATGACAGACCTGATAGTAACCATTTTTGTAACAGGGGAAAAGTTTCAGTGAAGTCTAGGCTTTCTTGTTGACTATATCCCTTAGCAACAAGCCTTGCTTTGTATCTTTCAACCTCCCCTGAAGCTTTGTATTTAATATTAAACACCCATTTACAACCAATAGCAACTTTATTAGTGGGAAGAGAAACAATAAACCAAGTATCATTATTTTCAAGAGCAGTAATTTCATCTTGCATAGCAGCCACCCAAAGAGGATCTTGACAGGATTCTGAGTATGTATGAGGTTCTGATGTGTCAGAATAAGCAGCAAGAAAAGCTCTATAAGTAGGAGATAAATCTGAATATGAAACATAGTTGGAAATAGGATATAGAGATGCATTTTTTGCTGTTGGAGTAACATAAGAGTATAGCCAAACAGGAGGTTTAGACTGCCTAGAGGACTTCCTAGGAGGAGCAACAGATGGAATAACTCTTGGAGAATCATTGATTTTAGAAGAAACAACACCTCTAACAGATGTAGGAATCTAAGCAGAAGAAGTTGAACTAGAAGTAGATAATTCAGAATCAAAGTCAACAAGAAGAGTAACAATAGAAAACAAAGAATCAGGATAAGATTTTAGATTTTTGAAAGGAAATATATCTTATTTGAACACAGTTTCTCTACTTACAAAGAAGATTTTGGAGCTGAAATCATATAAGATACACCCTTTCTGAGTAGAAAAATAACCCATATGAATAGTAGGGATAGACCTAGGAGCAAACTTATCAAGTCTTTTGGAGTCAGTTCATAACATAAAGAACCAAGAACTCTCACATGACTAAGAGAATGAGTTTGACCATATAACACCTCATATGAAGACTTGCCTTTGTGTAATTTGGTAGGTAACCTATTAAGAATGTATACTGCTGCAGACACACATATACCCCAGAATCTAATAAGAATACATGCCTGGAATCTTAAGGCTCTAGCCATGTCAAGAATAGATCTATGCCTCCTCTCAACTACACCATTTTGTTGAGGAGAATGATTACATGAACTTTGATGCAAAATCCCATGCTCTCTGAATAAAACATCTACCTGGGAATTAAAAAAATTATGTTCCATTATCTGATCTTATACACTTGACAGTGGTTCCAAATTGTGTCTTGATCATACAGATAAAATATCTTAACAAGACAATAGTATCAGGCTTAGTGTGTATTAAAAAATCCACGTATATTTGGATTTATCATCTACCAGTGTTAAGAAATATCTTTTTCCATCATAGTTAGAAACTCTATAGGGCCCCCATACATCAACATGCACTATGTCAAAACAAGCATTGGATAGAGACACACTAGTAGGAAATGGTAATCTTGTTTGCTTTGCAATAGGACAAACAGTACAGTTGTGATCTTTCGTAGGTACATTTTGTAAACATTGTATTCTACTGAGAACTATGAAAGGAGCATGCCCCAGTCTCTTATGCCAAAGACTATGTAGTGAACAAATAGAAGTAAAACTGATAGGAGAACTGATACATGAGCTCCTATTAATCCTGTCTTATGAAGTACTTGGTTGTATTTCTGTATTGAGAAGATATAATCCTTGATCTTCCTTACAAATCCCCAGGACCCTCCCACTGAAGAGATCCTGAAAGATACATAAGTCAGGGAAAAATAGTACTGCACACTTTAATTGTTTAGTTAGTTGAGAGACAGATAATAGATTATACAAGAAAATCTGGGATATAGAGAACATCCTTCACTAATTTATCCTTAAGAATTAGTGAATCCCCAACATGATTAATAGCCACCTGAGCACCAGTAGGAAAATTTACTTTCATATCACTTCTACTTCCATGTACATTGTTTCATAAGACTCAGACTATGAACCATATGATTTGAAGCACTTGTATGTATAATCTAGTTGGTATGAACCATATCAGACATAAGAGCTGTAAGAGTACCTGAGGAGCTTGCAGTTGCAACATTAGCCATGGAATCTACTTTCTTGCCTCTTTGCTCAACATTTTTTTAATCTGATTGTATTGTTCATGTGTAAAAAGTGACATGCCTTGTGTACCTACTGAGAAATTGTTAGGAGAGGTACCATAGGACTTAACATTAGTATTTACAGAGGAGTTATCATAGACTCCATTTTCAGGAGACTGACATCCTCCAGCAGCAGCACTATTAGCATGAGAAGAAGAACCTTCTTTCTTCTTAGGATAGCCATGAAGCTTGTAGCAAGAATCTTTAGTATGTCCTCTGTAATGACAGTAATCACAATAGAGATTTGATCTTCCTCCTTGTCGTACATCACCATTATTTCTAAATCTATAACCAATATTTCCATTAGAACCATTGCTAGGATAGTAAGCAGGACCTGAACTAGAACCACTACTGTTATGATATCCATTACCATGACCAGAAATTCTATTACTCATAAGAGCAGTATCTGAAGAAGTTTCTGTAGAAAATGAACTACTACTAGCACCATTCACTCTTTGACTTTCTACATTAATGATCATAGCATAAGCTTGATTAACATTTGGTGTAGGAATCTGCATTAACACTTGACTCTTACATGAGCATAAGACTCATTTAGACCCATCAGAAATTGACATAAATTCTTAAATTGAAAATGTTCTGCATACTGTTTGGATTCAGGACATGAACAGGAAGGAGGTGGTATAAGTGTTTCAAATTCATCCCAAAGTAACAAATTTTGTGAAGATAGAATGCCCTAGAAGCATTAACCTTATCAAACCTTTCTCGAAGATCCTCTCAAACAGTGTGTGCATCAGATCCATAAATCACAGTGCTAACTAAACTTTAAGAGACAGTATTCATAATCCATCCTAAAACAATAGCATTGCATCTCTCCCATTAATCATGCATAGAGGAAGGATACATGCCCTTAGTACAAGTTCCTAATAGAAAACCTAGCTTATTTTTACCAAGTAATACAAGCTTCAAGGATTTACTCCATAACGAGTAATTTTCAGATCCTAGAAGCTGAATTGAAGTAAGCAGGGAACGTTGAGTATCAGAAGGATGAATATACAGAGGATGATTGTGATCGATTGAAGCAGAAACTCTAACCTCAGCAGCAACAACAGATTCTTCCTCAACTGCCATGACAACGAAGCCCTGTAACTAAAGATGAACACCTGATCTTCAATTTGAGGAAAATTGAGAAGAAGAAATGAGAAAATTAGCAGAGGATTACAGCGAAAAATCCTAATGCTCTGATACCATGTTGAGAATCTCCATTAGTGGAAGTAAAGAAGCTTTAGAGAATATTTAGGAGAATGAATCTTGTTATCCATTCAATCTGTGTGTTGAGTTATATATACACATAAAGTGATAAAAGAAAAATAACTAACTAAGATTCTTTTATCTAACTAACTTGTAACTAATTTCTGTAAATAATTATTTCTAATACAATTAACTAACTAATCTTATTTACATGATCTCAACAATATACAATTGCTGATGAAGGAAAAAAATAAAAATAGATTCATGGGTTACTTGCGAAAAATGAGAGCAAGACAGAAGGAAGAACGTGAAATCTTATGAAATTTGAAATTTAAAAAAGAGTGGAAGAGTAATTTTAGGAGAAAGAGATGTAATGAGGATAGGAGAGATAAAATCGATTTTGTGTAAAATTTTATATAAATAGATGGTGGGTTATGACAAAAAAAATAAAACTATTATTATTGAGTGTAAATAAATTATAATATACCCTTATTAATTAATTACTTAGTATAATTTGTCATCCCATGTAATTTTCTCAAATACATAATGCTACTCCCACGGTTGTTTTTTACTTGTCACAAAGCGCTTTACAAAAGCTAGTTTCATTAATTTTCAGAGCTAATCAATTATATTAGATATCGTACTTCATTAGAATTGGTAAGGTAAGATCTAGCCCCTCTTGCTTTTACTTATCTCTGTTGAGGTTTTCTTTTTATTATATTAATAATAAAAGACCGCTAGACTAGTGATAAAAAAAACTAGAATAATTCAATATATTTGGATATTCAAAAGCAATATGAAGATATTATAAATCACACTTGTTTCATATTAAGATAATGATAAAAATATATCTTAAAATATTGATCAAAATTTATATAGTTTGACTAGAGAGATAAAATGCGAAAAAGAAAGAGGAACGGAAGGAGTACATGATATTCACAAATTTGCCAACTAAAGAATATAAAGGATGTTGAACTGGCAGTGTTAGCTTAATGATGAACATGTCTGCACTCTTGCATGAATAGGTCAACTTAAAGTGTGAATAATTTTAACAATTAGTTCTAGCTACTTGTTTAGCCCTAATTAATATTGTTATCCTGCGATAGACACATGTTTGCACACGCTGTATTCATGTTGATGAGTTGCAGATAAGCATATGTATTAATGCTCGTTTAACTATTGATTAAGGCTAAAAATTTCAAAAGGAAAAAAAAATATATAGTCAGCAAAAGACTTATAAGGAGCAACACAAATAGCTAGCGAGAATTTTTGTAGACAAACTCCAATTTCCTGGAGATTGGAGGCTTAGTTATTGTATCGATTCTGTAGATAACTGGATGAGAACTTGCCAAATGATGGAAATGAAGCCAATCATTTGCTCATTATCCTGCTAATATCATGAGGAGCCGATTTAAAGATGAAATTATATTTGCTTCATTTCATAATCCAATGTCATTGATTAGGCTTGACAGCATTTAAATGGAGAATGAGTAAATCTGATCGACCAGGAGCCCAAACAGGTATAAATCTGGCTCAAATGTCATGTAAAGGTATATTCAACCTCAACAGCTAACTTGTGAGTCTACTATAACACGATTAAATCTCTGGATCAAAATGCATAGCCTGCTAATGTCTGCTTATTATTTCAGATACTGGAAAAATATTATAGTGTATACTCTACAATCTATATATCAAATAGCACTAAATCAAAACCTATGCCTCAAGTGATTTTCCATGTGGAGATCTGACCCTGAATACATGTTCTTCCCCTGTACATTGATCCACTTTAACGATCCAACGACTCTTTTTCTCCGAAACGCCCAAATCACTGCCTTTTCGTGTCATTCTAGTCATCAACAAACCACTCTCTCCTATGGGTAACAAATGCGCATTAAAGCTTGCACATCTCCACGATCCCATTTGCAACGCGTTGTACCCTAAAACAATGGCAGTACTTCCCCCAATTCTTCGTGCTGTTTTAAAAATAGGTTCAAAGTTGTTAATGTTGCAATCAATTGCTACACAATCTGCTCTTCTGTAATCGTTAACTAGTAGAGTTTTGGCATCTCCAATTACAAATTCAACGTGCATAGCGTTATGTTGTAGAAATTCAATTGATGGATTTAATTTATCGAATTCACGGAGAATGCAAACGACTCTACCACCAGTTTGCTGAGCTGCAGCCACAAGGGCTAGTGTGGTGGAATCGGCTGCACCAGCACACGCCACGACCATCAGTTGTGCATTGTTTCCAGCAACAAGTGCTGAGATGAATTCTGATACATCTGGCTCTTTAGCACTCTTTCCCTGAAGTAAAAAAAAAATATTGGAATTTGGTTGATTCAATTGTTGAGAACAAATTGTGAAATCATAACTAACCATTTTTATTGCTTTGAGATAGGCTTTGGTTGCACTTTCAGGTGACCAGCATGCCATTTTCTATTTTTTTTTTCTTTCTTTGAAATTGGATCGACTCTTGAAGTTTGAAGACTTTGAAGGTTATTGGGCAATATATAGCATTGGAAGGGCGGTAGTTATGACCTATTACTTTGTCACTTTTTTTTCTCCCCTTCTATACATATTAGAAAAAAATACTTTTTAATAATATTGAAAATTAATATGAAAGGGAAGTACGTGAAAAAAATTCAAAAAGTCAATCAATGAAATTTTAAAATCGTGATGAAGTAATTTTCACTCGAATCGTGTACTAATTAAGTGGACGACTAATTTAGTTTAATTTTTTTATCAGGGTGCGAATTTTTTTTTTCTAGTTGTCAAATTATTTGGCTCTTCGTTGTGGTGTTGTGAATCAGAGAGACAAATGAAAATTTTAATCCTTCAATTAGGAGTATTTGAACCAACTTGGAAATATCAATTAGTATTATTTGTAGACAAAACTGATAGGAACCATGTTTATTAGTCCTATCAGTGATCCAACAAACAATCGTTGTATTAATCCAGATTCGAGTTTAGTACAACTTGAATTAATTAATTATCCAACTGACTGTCCCTTTTGGTCTTTTGGTGTACGGTACATAATCTTTCAATAAATTAAGGATTTACGTAATTTATATAATATTTTAACTTCTTGTGACAGACAGTAAACTAATTTGGCTTTTCTAAATCCTTAATTTAAATTATCGTTCATACACAATGCATACTAGATCTGATTAAGTTTAACTATTTATTATGCCCTTTCTATTACCTGTTTTTATCTCCTTTTTTTCGTTTTAATTTTTAAAAAAATCTATTCTAAGTATCAATAAATGTTATCACTATCGTCTGAACAATTAGATATCTAAAAATAATTTTTAATGTTTTATTTCCTAAAATATCTTACATTTATGATATTATGATGAAATGAAATAGAGTTTAGGCATGTGCCAATGTGGTGATGTGTTGTGGTGTGCCTCTGCTGCAGTAACACAAAGCCATTTTGTTACGTAATGTTGCAGGCCAGCTGTAACATGGCATTGTGGCTACCTAGCAATTATCCACGTACAAATTTCATAACGTTGACAAGTTTCAAGAGAAAAACGTGAATGGACAATTTATGGGTCGCAATTTTATTTTTTGTGGAAATAGTATTGCAGCCTTTAAAGAGACAATGAACATGGGTTGGAAGATGAAACTCCATCAATTGCACCAGCATTAAAAAGGTTATGTGACTTTTTTAAGTTAGTGTTCTGATCAATATTTTTGATTAAAAAAAAAAAGAAGCTAAATTATCAAAAAAAAAATTATCAGAATTTGGTCAAAAATTAAAAAGATTGTAAAAAATAAATTGATCTTTTTTTATTTTTAATTAAAAGGTAGGAGTTTAAAATTAAAAGAATTAAAATGTATAAAATATAAAATAACATTAAAAAGAATATTATTCGAACCAAAAAGATTTTTACTTTTAGTTACTCCCTCCATCTTTTTTAATAGGTTATTTATTTCTATAAATAGTTGATATGTAACTCTTGTCATTTTATGAAATTAATGTATATATTATTATATTATTTCCTTTTTAACCTTGTAAGAGGTTAACCTTGAAAATATACATTTGATCAACTTAGAAAAAATAAGTATTGATTCATATTTATTAATTAAATTAATTCATATTCATTGATTGAAAATTTGAATTCCAAAAATATTTAATAAGAGAAGAAGAATAAAGTTACATAATTTCTTAATGCAAGTGTAAAGCAAAAAGATAATAATATAAAGGGACAGAGGGAGTATTATTGAGGTGAATATATTTCATTTTTTTTTAAAAAAAATATGATGTTTACTCATAAGTTTTAGAAACAATCAAAACTAACCATAGATTTATATTACATAACAAGATAGAAACATCGACGTAACAAGATTCATGATTTCCGCAATAAGTCATGCTTCTTCATTGCATCAAATAATAACGAGTAGGTCCATGACATTAAAGCAATGTGGTAGTTTGAAGGAGTGCAACAAACATCATTCCAAACATCATGAAGTAGACGAAACTAATAACTTTGTTACCTTGAGCTGAATGTTCATCATTTTCATCAACAACCATATCATCACTTTCATATTTCACTGAATATTCTATCACTACTTTGGTGTTCACGTAAAAAATTATGTAATACAACAAATAACTATTATGGAGAGTGTTTTTTTAAAAGAGAAAAGTCTGGGTGTAGAATTCAAATTTGGGAAAAGGGTCCGATGTATTCCTCAACTTTGTCATTCAGAGTTGATATATTCCTTGTTATTAAAATGACTCATATATACCCCAATTTATAAAGAAATGACTCACATATACCTTTTTCTCTAACAGAAATGGCAAAAAAAAATAATTTTAATATAACTTTTATTATTTTTTTCTAAAAAATATAATCTCATATGAGTAAATTTAATCCTCGTCAAACATATTTTTTTTGATCTTTTTTTTGGTTTCAATGACTAATTTAAAATTATTATTTTGATAATCAAATATATTTATGTTTCACTAATATTCTTGTAAAACTTATTATAGATGATAAAACTTTTTTTGTCAAATACAAAAACCAATTACAATATAAACAAAAAGTAGTTTAAATTTTTTTTCTTTAAACTAAGAATTGAAAGAAAAAAAATAGAATAAGAAACTCATATAATTATAATTAAAAAAATTAAAAAATAATTTATGTATGGAAAAAACTTAAATATATCATAAACTTTGATAGAAGAATCATCTATACCCTAAATAATTTTTTAAAACAATTAAAAGTAAAAAAAATAAATTTAGAACTAATTTTTTAACTTCCGTTAAATGAATGGTATATGTGAACTCATTTTGTAACGACAGGACTGTATGTGAGCTGTTTGTATAACGGTAAGGACAATATATGAGTCATTTTCACAATGAACGGTATATCAGCTCCAAATGATAAAATTGAGGGTATATCAGACCCTTTTCCCTTTAAATTTTTAGAAACTCTCAGATAATGATATTTGACTCAAATACTAGTTTGCTTGTTTTAGTATTTAAGTATTTAGATTATTTGCCAAAAAATATTTACCAAATTATATGGACAAATTTTTTTTATTTTTTTTATTTTTTTTTCATATTTACATCGAAAATTTATGGTCAAATGGGTCCTAAGAAATTCATATCCTACTAGTTGTATATAGAGATCTTAAATTGAATAGGCATATATATTCATGAAAGAACAAGATTATTATGAAAAATCATCTTTTAATATACAGAGGTCTTAAATTGTACAAACACGTTTATTCATGAGCCAACATATAACTATTATAAAAAATTACATCTTACGTTTTATTTATAAATATAAGGACTCTTTAGAAATAGGAAAGAAAATTTTGTAAGTATATATAAGGATTTTATTGTATTCTAAAGTGAATTGTTTGTTTTCCCCCAATATGTATAGAAGCAATACTTCTTTTAAGGAAAGTGATTCTTCACAATTCAAAGTCATTTTCTTTTCTTCTATCATTATATTTCCTATTATTTTAACAATAGCAATTCACATCTTACGTAATTATTCTCATTACACTCAGCATAACGACTTTATTATTACTTAGAATTGACGCTCCAAACATAATTGATCACAAATGGATGCCCAAGATGTATTAAGGATGTAAAAAAATGAGCCCAACGGAAACTCATTGAATTCATCTAAAATTTTAAGGGTTGGACTAAATATAATTTGTATTTGGTTCAATCTCAATCCATTCAAGTCTTAACTCATTTTAAGATGGAAAACTTGCATAAAGATACTATATTAAGAAAAATATACCATTTATAATAATAATTTTTTTTTACTTGATAATTTTTAATACATATTGCAGAAAACAATTTATAGAACACATATAAAACAAGTTTTATTGATGTTTATATATTTATTACTCATTTGATAACTCAGTATAGAATGTGTCAATTTTTTATCAAACAAACGTAATGTATTTTAAAACAGTTATAATACATATATATTATATACATAATCTGCTTTTAATATATATTGCCGATTTATTATAGTATTGCTATGTAGGGGTGTACAAAATCGAACGGAAAATCGAGTCAAACGGTAAATCCAGTAAAATAAAAAAAAACCCGACTACTGATTTGGTTTGACATGGTGTTGTATTGGGAAAAAAAAATCCAACTATATTTAGGTTGATTTGGTTTCAACTAAAAAAACCAATCGGAGACCAAACCAACCCGATTTTATATATGTAATTTTAAAATTTTATTTTATACATAAAAATATTTACTTTGGAATCATTTTAAAATATTTCTTATACTATTTCATTCAAGTCTTAACTCATTTTAAGAGGGAAAACTTGCATAAAGATACTATATTAAGAAAAATATACCATTTATAACAATAATTTTTTTTACTTGATAATTTTTATTACATATTACAGAGAACAATTTATAGCACACATATAATACAAGCTTTATTGATAGATAATATATTTATCACACATTTGATAACTCAGTATAGAATGTGTCAATTTCTTATCAAACAAACATAATGTATCTTTAAAAAATTATAATACATATATATTACATACATAATCCACTTTTAATATATATTGCAGATTTATTATAGTATTGCTATGTAGGGGTGTACAAAATCGAACTCAAAACCGAATCAAATCGTAAATCGAGTCAAATAAAAAAATGACTATTGATTGGTTTGACTTGGTTTAGTATTGGGAAAAAAATCCGACTGTATTTAGGTTGATTTGGTTTCAACCAAAAAAAACAATCGGAGACCAAACCAACCCAACGTTATATATGTAATTTTAAAATTTTATTTTATTCATAAAAATATTTACTTTAGAATCATTTTAAAATATTTCTTATACTATTTCATTCAAGTCTTAACTCATTTTAAGAGGAAAAACTTGCATAAAGATACTATATTAAGAAAAATATACCATTTATAATTTTTTTACTTGATAATTTTTAATACATATTACAGAGAACAATTTATAGAACACATATTGGACAAGTTTTATTGATGCATAATATATTTATCACACATTTGATTACT